ATTGGATTTTGATTGGCCGTATCGAATGTTTTCCATCAACGATCGATGGAAGAGGGATGGGTCTTGAGGAATGACACCAATATTTGATCGTAAAGAATCTTGTGTATAGCGAGCGATGTTTTGTTGGTCTAGTAAAATGCTTCCTTTTTTAAGGTCAAATAACCGGAGAATTAAGTTAATAAAGGTTGTTTTTCCACTGCCTGACAATCCGACTAAGCCAACTTTTTCACCGGGTTTGATATGAACAGAAAGATTTTGGAAAAGTGGTTCAAGGTTATCTTTGTACCCAAAATAAACATTTTTGAATTCAATGGCTCCTTCTGTGAGAGGAGGCATGGATGGCGCCTTAGAGAGGTCGCGAACTTCAATAGGAGATAGAGCAACTTTTAGTCCTTGAGAAATGTTTCCGGCAATTTCTGAGGCTTTGCCAACATCTTCAGAAAGATTCCATAAACAGCGGATCAATTCGACATTAATTGTTAACATTGCAACAAAGTCACCGGCAGAGAAAAGGCCTGTTTGGTATCCTGCGATAAGCCAATAAAGGATAACAGCGGTGTAGATGCTGAATGAAACTCCTTCAACGGCAAAGACAAAGAAAAAGAACCAGTCTCTTTTCCGATCTGCAATGACATAAGTATCTAAAGCTTTGCGCAGTTTTCTGCTTTCTGTTTCTTTTGTGCTGAAAAGTTTGACATTAATGAGGTTGGTGAGGATATCAACAATTTGACTGACAATGATTGATCGCGCTTCAGCAGATTTATGGCTAAGGTGGCGGGCTCTTTTTGCAATGAGTAACGAAAAAGCAATAAAGCTGAGCGACCAAACAAAAAGGGCAAGGGCAAATGTTGGGTGAATGATCCAGAAAATGCCGATTGCAATAAATAAGGCCATGGTGTGTGCAAAAAATCGGTTCGTGATCAGACGTAAAAGATCTGGGACGCCACTCATCGTGTCCTTAATTTTATTGGCCAGGTTTCCTGAAAAGTGATTGTGAGTTAAAGACGCAGAATGCAGTATCATGCGCTTAGTCAGGATGCTGCCCAATTCTCGTTTCAGGGCAGGGTTGATCATTAGCCACGCGTAGTCAAACAAACGGAAAAGCCCGACCATTAAAAATGACATGCCTGCATAACCTGCTGCATAGGGCCATAATTCGTGAATAGCGTTATCCCGTGAAATATAGGGAAGTTTGTCGATCATCCATTTTAATATGAGGTGACGTATGTTGGCATCAATTGCCCAAACGAAACCCACAAAGAACATAATAAGGACCCAAACCTTGAAGGGGCGAATGGCGGCAAATAGAAAAGGGAAGATCCCTTGATCTAAGGGAACTGATTGAGAAGACGAGTCTTCTTCTTCAGAAACATTCTCTGAAGAGGAGGCAAAGTTGCCTGAATACATCATTTTAAATCTCCTGGACCTTGGACAATAATAGAGAAAGGAGATTGGCGTCAATAAGGAGAAGGGGTGTTTTTAGGTAAAGGGATATTCTCAATCTGAGTGACAACGACTTATCCTAAGACGGGCTTTTGCTAAATTTATGAGATGCAAGGAAGTTGGCCCCAAAGTCTGAAATCCCTTAATGCATTATTTTTTTATGCTTAATAATTAATTATTTATTTTTTTGGCGAAAATTTTATCATCTAATAAATTTATTTATTGTTAACAATAAATAAATTTTCATAAAAATAGACTTGGTAACTCTCTGTTTACTTTTTTCTTTCCAAACTCGTCTTTGGACAAAATGTCATGTTTGTCTGCGTCTAAAAGAAAGAGGGAGTTGGGAAGATGAAAAAACTTTTAATTTCAGCACTTGTTTGTGGGGTTTCTTTTTCTTGTGTGGAAAGTCAGGCTAAAGTGGGACCCGATGAGGAAGAAAAAGAGAACCTTCGGAAATTCCTTCCTAGAGAATCTACGGAAGAATTGCTTTCTCAAATTGTGCGTTCTTTAAATTCTTCTAGCCTTTTAGAAGTTCTTGGTGGAAAGCCTAAAAAAAAGAAACCTCTGACACCTCTTCAAAGGTTTAATGAGCTTGCAAACGCACGAGTGTTGCAAGGGTATGAGCGTCCTTATTTAGGAGATGTTGTGAGCGGTTCGATGAGAGGAGCATTAAACACATATCATCGCGGAACAACAGAAGAGGCCTCACAGCGTTTTGTAAATTTATGTTGCCCCCCGAAAAGTGGACAGTTGAATAAGCTCAAAATAAAGTTCTTTTTCGCATTTTAAGAAGGCAAAAGAAAAATGAGTAAAAT